GAAATCTGAAATTCGTCGTGAAAACTCCTGACTATAGAAAACAGAGGGGAAAGTACCACGTTGATAGAATCAAACCTTATTACGAACGGGGAAAAAACAACCCTGTAGTAATGATCAGTGGACGTTGCCATGCACCTGAGTCCACGGGAGTCCGAGAATGAGTAACTGAAGGAAGAAAACTGCCGTTAATGGCATTTTTCGTCACGAGCCACGATTTCATTAACCATATAGGCCTAAAGTAAAATCTTAAATAAAAAAACTAGTTAGATATAAAAGAAGGGAAATTTAATCCAATGCTTCCGACTCGCGACGAATATATTCTATGATCAGATATCCTTCTTTTCTCTTTACAAATTCTTTCTCTCCTTATCCTCTCTTTCACCCGAACAAGGGCCTGTGGACTTCGGAAGTGACCCGACGGGAGGATGACCTGGTTCAAGATTTCCCGTTTGACCATGAGTGAATTCCAGGCACCATAATGCGATTCGTGATCGGAACGTACTGAGCATGTGTTGAACTTTTGGCCACACAAGCACTGCGTGATTTTGCGCCCTATCTCCTGCGTACCCGGTCAAGGACGGGACACTGTCGAAAACCAAAAAGGATTTTTCAGTTTCCCTCTGACCAGCGGCAGTTGAACGTCGCTGGGCAAAAATCGTCAGACCGACCACTGAGATGAGGAAGACAGCAAAGTCTGTCGACTAGTGAGTGGTGGAAGGACTGCTAGGGAACTGGTCGACCCAACCAAATGCCTGTATGAAATGCTGTGGACCCTCGAACACTTGCGAAAAGAAGAAGAATCCAGGAACATTGTCGGCCGGCCAAGATACTGTTTTATCATCAGAACTCTCGCTTCGGCGAATCAAAACTTTATGTGAAGATATCAACCCAACTGCAAGATAAGTTGATTCGTTTGGCTTGATCTGTTTTCATATATGTATGTATTCGCTCACGCCTTCTATTCTTTAATGATGTCCTCCCCCTTTGTTAAATGAATGTTCTTTTTTTTCTTTCTTTACTCCGTTATATATATTTATAAATAAATGTTTTATTTTGAAATCCATCGTCTTGTGTCTGTTCTTCGTTGATTCCCTTGTGTCGCTTCCATTTCTGAGTGAAGACCGAGAAAAGAAACCACGTTTTCCTTTTTTTTAGAACCCGTGGTTCATCTATATGCTACAAGTTCGTAACAATATATATATAAAATTACAGAAATTACTGTTTTAAAACAACAAATTTCCTATGATTTTTCTCAAACTATCATATCTGCTCAAAGTATATCGTAATGTAAACAAATGTCATCATATATTTTGAAATGAACTAAGTTATATATTTTCTGTTTCTACATTATTTTTATAGATACAAATATTTAAGTAAATGCTCTGTTTATAATAAACAATATTAACTACATTTACCGACCTGTATGTCCGAGAAATTTCATTCAAAATATGCATCCTCCGACAGGAATCAAACCTGTATCCTTTGCGGAACCGTCATTTGGCCTGACGTGCTATACCATTTAGCTACAGAGGAAACGTCTGGTTAGTAAAGTCAAGTTACTGTTTTTAAACAATAAATTTCTCATTAGTTTTCCAAACGATCATATCTTCTCGAAGCGTAATGAACATAAATTGCATCAAATGGACTAAGTCCGACAATTGTTTTAATATATTTTCTGTTTATACGTTATTTTTATAGATACAAATATTTGAGTAAATGCTCTGTTTATAATAAACAGTATTAAATATATTTGAATGACAAATATCATCTTATGCCATTTACCTACCAACGCTGATATACTAGTGCCAGATATGGCCCCTAACAAAAACCCTTGAGAGGAAACTGATCACTTGTGAGATGAAATGCCTGAGGAAAGCAGTGAACAGGCGAGCCAAGATCAGGAATGAGGAAGTAAGAGATATGGTAGGAGCAATACCAATACCAATACTAACACATCGAACGACAGAGGATCAAGTTGTTCGGACACCTCACTCGTATGCCTGTCAATCAACCAGCCCTACGTGCATACACCCTCAGTTACTCTGGCTGGAGAGCGAGAGGCAGACCAAGAAGACGCTGGAGCGACTTAGTGGCAGACTCTCAAAACCCACGAGATGTCTCGCCTCCAGGCCACTCGCCTTACCGCTGTCAGACGACTGTGTCTTCTCGTGACGCCTAACAGGAAAAGCTAAACTAAACACTCTTGGGAAAGGTATGAATCTATAGCATCCTGCTATTACTTTTCTATCAATGTCAAATTTTGGGCAAATCTGTGCAAAAAGTGGATCATAGATCCTTGATATTTTACTCATCTCTCATTGGCCAGTTAATATTTAAATCATGTTTTCAACTCCGTCTGAATAACATCGACCTAGTTCCTGACCAGACGAAAATACATTTTCCGTCCAAAATCAGAGCCTGTCATGTGATTAAGTTGATTATAAATACCAGACACGAGTTCGATTTCTCTCTTCTTTTTGACTTCTCTCGCTTACTAAAATGTAGCTGTTAAAGAAATCTCGTTTTGACCCTGTGCGGGCGGATGATATGAAAACATATTCACACACACATGTACGTACGAAACCTAATTACAAATATTACGAACATTACAGAACTGTCGAAGTTAGCTCCTCCTTAATTCCCCAATTGTTCACTAGGGGCGCTTTCCCTACACTATAAATACTGGGCGACTTCTTGCCTCGTTCTCTTTTCTACTTTGCATTTCAGCGGACACATTTAAAAATGTAATCTCTCACGGAGATAGCGTTTTCCCATTTGCGGGAGACGCCATTAACATTAAACACACATACACGTACGTACGAACATTCACCAAAATATAAACTTTTTACGTTCACACACAAACACAAACGTTGATGTCTATGTCCATTGTAAATCTTGTTGTTTAATACATATATTTGTTGACATATATATATCGGTCTTGTTGGTTTGTTTTCTTTACATCTTCAGTTGGACTTAATTCAAGTTCGCCATTTTCTTGTAGTTGGACCTTCTAGCAGGAATAAATAACACGTGTTTCTAATTCAACAACACTCAAACCCACACGGCCCCTCTACAGAACATTACAACCACCAACATATTACGAATATTCAACTGCAAACAACGGAAACTAATTAAACATTATGGGACATTCACTCCTTCAACTCTTCTGAATCTGAATGTTTATTAACATATTTGCAGCTTTACAGAATTCTTTCAACTGTCTCACAGTGAACATTTTGAGCGGCAAATTCATTCAACTTTTTATGAGCTCAAATAAAACAAATATTTCATTAGTAAAGACTTTAATTCCGGTCAAAGGGAAGTAACCCCTAGGCTTGTACATCATTACATACATAAATATAAATATTGTTCTTGTTAAAAACAAAAAAAGTTTTTCGTGTTCTCTTGTTTACTTATCGTTTCCTTACACATTTGTAAAGTAAAAAATGTAAGGGTTGATTTGTAGCGAACAAAACAAGATCGAAATCTAAAAAATCAAATGCTAAGCACTGACTCATTGATTTTGTTAGAAATTAAAATAAGACTCGAATTTACAAACTTTGCTTAACACACACGCAAAAGCGAATCCAAAACAAAACTCGTGAAATTTCACACCTTGATGCGAAATGTTTTTCGGCCAATAGAAAACTAGGAAACTATTAAAAACAAAATTCAAATAATCTTCAATTCTCAGAAACAAATTCTTTTACGGACCTTTTCGCGAGCCGACGCGAAATTTGTTCATCGTCCAATGAAAAGGCCTGAATCATATCCGGGAGTAAATTCCCAAATTACCTTTTCAAGCCCTACAAACAAAATAAAAGACGGGCAAGTTCGCCTGTCACCAGAGAGAAAGAGACGAGCGTATTAACACGTCCTTTGACAAACGTCAAGCGATCGTTGTTATTATCTCTACCCTTCTCCCTCACCTCTTTTATACTTGATAAACGAACGGAACATTTTAAGACTGAGTGATTACTTCAAAGACATTCCTACCCAACGATAACGCTCATACATGCATACATACGTTCCTGCCTACGTACACATAAACTCATTCTTGCAAGGACTACTACGAACATTTTGACGACCTTGTATCAACCAAAATACATTAGTTTTTATCTGATTGATTTATATGTATATAAATTTGTTGGTTACTTTACAATTTGATTTTCTTGTTTTATACCCCTCTTATGGTGGGCTATCTAACTAACAAAGCCAAATCAAACTAATCTGTTTCAGCACTTCACTATAACTGATAACCCACTAGGCCGTCAATACCGCTACAAATAAATCTTTCTCTTCTCCCACAGTTATGGGTTGAATTGTAGGAGAGCTTGGCCCTCTCTAGTATTAGTTGCAACCAGTCTACTGCAGAAAGAAATGGAAGCCTACTACAGGAAAATCTTCAGCCTAGTCAATCATAAATTGAAAGAGACATGATCGCCCAAGCGTATATTGCGTATGGTACTTATGTAACTGTCTGACGGAGACCTGATCAATGTATGTACAGCAAACTGGTATTTTAAAACATAAAAAAGCACAGTTAATTACGAAAGTGAACTGCTTGTCTCGACGCAGAGAACAAAAAAAAGCGTGAAAGAATGAACGTTGTACTAGTTTTGTTGGTTAAATATATAAATAAGTTATTTATCTTGGTCGGAAGAAAATTGGAATAAATTTCATTTATAAAAAAAAAAAAAAAAAAAAAAGAGAAAGATATCCAGTTTTTAAAACATCAAATCCACTGTAGCAATCAACCTGCTCTCGTATTTATCAAGTAAGAAAAGAAAGAAAAAATAAAAACAAACTTTACTAACACTAAAGAGGTCTGTTTCGGGTGATTTCACTTGATGTAGTCTCTTCATACTGCTGCGTTATTTTTATAACAGCAGTAGTAACGTTACCGTGTGCAGCTTTATTTTGTTAAAACAGGAAAAAATATTCTTCATCAAGGAAAAATACCAACTATATATTTCAAATTGTTTCGCGTAAACAAACAGAGCATTTGATTTGTAAAGTGTGGATTTTTCTCAACCATCAAGTAAGTACACGTATATAAACAACAATTTAAATTCAAATGCTAGATACAATGAAGCGTTCTATGAGATGAAGCAGGACTTCTTCATTTCTTGGAATTACGAAAAATATATACCTAATCTTTTTTTCTACTTATTATTATTCCTTAAGACATATTCTATATTTTTTAGCGTATTTTTTTCCTAAAGCAGAACAATGAGAGATTTTATATTTTGACGTAAAGTAAAGTAAAGATGTTTTAAAAGCATAAAGCAAAAAGACGTTCGGATTTTTTTTACTGTTGTTCATTTATTTATTTTAATTGCTTTAAATCTGTATTTGATTATAATTGTTTTACAGAATGAGTACAAGTAAAGAGTATATAAACTTTCATTCTAAATTTATTAATGAAAAAAACATTTTTATACCAATTTGAAATCTATACGTCTCTAAATTTATTCTGTTTTTATGTTAATTCTTTATTCGTTCGTGTTCTTGACTTATCGTTTAGTCGACTCCCAATAAATATACACGTTTAGATAAATTCATTCATAATAAATTCGCGTAAGGTGTATTTTGTTACATAAAAACTACACTATAATTATTTAGAAAGCCCTTTTTCTGTACCCGTGCGCATGCGCGTACAGTCAATTTAAGTTTCTCAATTTATGTACGCGAAATTTCAAATTGCAAATGATAAAATCACTTTTTTTCAGAATGGACCAGAAAAGATTCAAATGTATTTATCTGTTTTTCCTAAAAGTACATTCCATTCCAAATTGATTTTGTTATGTAATATTTGATAGGGGAGACATTTTAACAGGTCGATAAGAAACTTTCTTTGTTTAGTGAGTTATGAACTTCTTTCATAAAGTTATACAAAGAAAGCATTATATTGTGTATGTTAGTTGTATTTATTTATGTACACTGGCGGCCTCACGGATATTTTTAAATACATTTACCGGTCGAGGAAAGAATTGTTTACTCTGATTAAAACCAGTTTCTTTCCTTGGAAGGAATTTGTGGTAAATAATGCTTTCAAGCTTAAATCAACCCTTATTGCTAATCTTTCTTAAATACACACATACACATGTAAATTAATTATGGTTAATCCAGTTTGGCATATACACGCGCATGCGCGCATATTTCTATGCACCTTTGTCCGTGCATCCCAGTGTTCTTAAAAAATACATGAAAAAAGAAAGTGTGTGCGAATATTTACATAGCTTAATCTGGCACAAATTGTTCAGTGACGACCAAGCTAAAGTTAAATTTGCAAGGGTGGCTTGATAACCATTACAACAAAGTGTATAGGTACTGTGTAGATAAATAGATATATACAAGTACTTATATGATAAAATATGAATATAAATTTCGCTGTAGTTGAACTAGTTAAGTACTTTCTGCTCGTGAAAAAAACAACAATAACAACAACAACAAAAACAATCAAATAACGATTTTCAAAACAGTGAGGTTTTTTTTCGACCACTTAGAACAGTTTTTCCCAACCTTTTTTTCAACCAGTGCCCCTTTTGGACACAAACTTCAATACCAATACCTTGTCAAATTAAATTTCGAATATTATACTGAATTCATCTTTTATAGTAAGATAACACTTAGGTTACATTAGTAAGAAAATAATTTTAATATTGTTTTCATTTCTACGAAGATTCAGGAATTGCCGGAAAGTGACACAGTATGCCATCCAACCCCGTTGCTTTATGCAAGGTTTACACCTTAGTCATCTCCTGTCTCGATGATACCCACAAAACAATAGCGTTAGGGTCAATTCAGAGTTTTCCTTCTAGACTACACTGCTATTTCTTCTATAGTTCGAGAAAGATGGATTCATGTCTTTTTCCTGCAAAGTGAACGAAACGAAATCGACCAAAATTTGAACTTGGCACGCTGATTCCATTTACCAAGCCGATAATTGTTTTGCATCCACATAACACTGGTGAATGATTCCACGTATAAAATCAACTTTCATCCAATTTGCATCCGAGGCTGAATTAAAATTCAGTACTTTTTTGCATATGTCATAAGGGGCCTTAAATTTTAATAAATACACACAAATGTTAAAAACCTAAAAATAACCAGATCATATGACAAATATGTTTCACTTATCAGTATGCGTATTACCATAATTCCCCAGGTATAATAATACGCATTTTTTTCTAAAAAATAATAAGCAAAATTAGGGGTGCGTATTATGCACAGCTACAAAAATATCTTTAAAAAATTGCCGTTTCATCGGTCGATTTCACTTGTGAAATGGCTACTCAGCACAAACATACGACAATTTGACACTAACATTCGGCGATTACGACCCCATAAGGATGTCAAATAGAATCATATATACTTAACGGTACTTACAAATGTAAAATAAAATCAGAATTATCATAAAACTAAATTACAATATGTTTAAAAGCCTTTTTTGTGGAAAAACTACATACAGATCCGGCAGATTGCACATTTTATCGAACAAAAACAATTTAATGAATCTGCGCAGTAGGCACAATATAGGTATTTCCGTTTCCTTTTAGAACCGCGTTGATCGGAAATTTTGACAAATACCTTCAATTACAACTTGAATAAGAGTAGGAAACTCTGGCCATAATAAAATTGGAGAGGTAGAATTTATAAGGTTTGATTACCAAACAAGGAGTGCGTATTATGCGTGAGTAGAAGCATTTTCCCACACTTTCAGCACAATTAATGGTGCGTATTATGAATGAAGGTCTATTATTCATGGGAAATTACGTTACTTTTATGTAGGCATCAATTTCTAATGTTTATAGTAACAAGTACAATTTAAAATAAGAATTTAAAAACATTTTAACCAATGACCCTTCTAGATGAGACAAAGTGTTTTTTCAACACTTTTTGTAAGGTATCAAAGATTAATGTTTAGGGTGGCGACAAATATTCCATTAACCTTGAGTTAAGTAACAGAATTTAGAAGAACGTTTTTAGTTTCCAATAATACCAAAAATGAATGAGAAAACGATATTTTAGAATGGTTAATAACAAGGGTAAACTTTTATATAGAAATACTCAAACAATAATTTGTATGAAATGGACAAGGTCCGACAATTATTTTTTAAGACATTTTTTATGTTTATGTTATGTAGTGGTTTCACAGTTGAGGCTTGTATTTGTACTGAGTCGGTCCTAAAATAGATTCGACGTACAAAACGTTAGGAACTTGATATAATAGGTAATGACGCAGAGAAATCTAGTTGTGGTCGCCGATACTTTAGTATCCGACTAACGGTCGTCCGGCATCGACTGACTGACCGACCCACTGAGCGACTCCCTCTACTTACTACTCCTACTTATTATAGGTGGGAGAGTCTATTAACTATAGAATAGGTGTGTTCCACTATAACACCCCACCCCTAAAACGATTTTATTTGTCTTCATTAAAGTTGGTTTCCCCAACTTCTTCCACGTATGCAAATTTATGATAGATAGGTCGGAACCAGTGCCGAGTTGCATTTTTATTTTTTTTATTATTTATTTCGACGGTAACAAATTTTCTGGTTATTCCATCGTTCACCTCGTCGGACTTTAATTTTCTTATTTTATTGTCTTTATTTTTTGACCTGCAGTGCGAGCTTTTATGACCCACTCTTTTACAGTTGAAACATTTTTTTATTCCTAAAATTGCAATATCTATACTAGTGAAGTTCATCGCAAGCAAAACGTGGCTTCGGGAGTTTTTGTTTATTTTTCTCTGGTATTTCACTTTTTGCTTGATAATCAGCAATTTTAGAATTCTTTTTGGTAGACTGACTTTTTTTGTAGCGTATTTTCCTTACATGCGAAACGCCAGACTGTTCTATCTTTTTCAAATCTTTCTTTACGCTAACATATCTTGTGCAGTCTTCTGCCAACTTCTGTATCGAAATCCTTGGTTCGTTTTCTAATTTTGACAGCACTAATTTTCTCAACTCTGCGTCTCTTTCCGATACCAACCCTTGAACAAACACTAAGCATTTAAAATTGTCAGCGCTTAACTCTGCTAGCTTGAATTCTTCACAATGCTTGTTCACATTGGCTGCGTACGTTATATAGTCTTGTTCGTCATCTTTCATCAGATTCAAACATTTTCACCTCTTGTGAAACAAAGATGTCTTTTTACTAAATAATTCACTTAATATATTTATCGCCTCGGTAAATGTCAACTCGCTAGTTTTTTTCAGTAAAATGTAGTTTACCAATTTGTTATGCTCAGCAGTTCCTAACTTGCTTAAACCTTCTTTCCTTCAGACCACGAGTGGCAGTCCTCGTTATACACGTCCGTATATTTTTTATAATAGTCTTCACAAGTTATCTCTTCATCTGGACTGTACGTGTATATTTCAATTGAATTCCATATTGTATTCTGTGGGAAAGAATCATTTTGTAGATTTTTCTCTTTCCTCTTTTCAGTTATTTCCAGAATTTTGTTTTGAAACTCCCTATGCATCTGTTCCATTTCGCGTTGAAACTGTATTTGTCTATTAAAAGTTTCCTCCTGTAGTTGCATCTGGAAGATCTTCTGTTGCTCTAATATTGTCATCTGTTGTTCCGTCTGGAACTTAAAAAATTCCTGGAATATATTTTTGCATTCCTCCATCTTCGCAAAAGTTTACACAATGCTTAAATATCGTAGAGGGGGGTCCTACGAATTTGCAATTCGTGACCTATTTGAGCAAACTATCTTATCGAGAAAAAAAAATTATTTTCTCAGTTGAGAATACGACTGATTTTTTCGTCACTCATTTGATGTCTTGTCTTTCGAATAACTTTGCCCATTTTTTTTTTTAAATGAGAATCCGAGATTTTTGTCGCCGAAATAATTGTGACGAGCAAATTTTTTCTTTTTCCTCCGTATGAGTACGAATTTCGTCACCAAGTGTTGTGGCGAGCGAATTTATTTTTTCTTCCACCATATGAATCCGAATCCCTTCGCCAAATTAGTTATGGCGTGTGAATTTTTTTTTCCTCCGTATGAGTACGAATTCTCGTGGCCAAATT